TTTTGTGCCTAAGGTGGGACTATAACTCCCAGGCTCCTGGTGATTGGTCCAAGGTCATCCAGCCAGCTTTCATGGCTAAGATAGGACAAGAACTAATGGGCTCCTGCTTCGCAGTCTGATGCCTTAACCACTGGGCCAACTGGCTCATTGTCCCAGAGATTCTTTCGACTAACAGCGTGAGAAGAACATCAATGCTGAGCATACCAGATGACCACCTAGTCTTCTCGCAGAGACACCAATCAAGCAGAACACAGCAAACTCCGAGACCAATAAACACAGACCAAGACTCCCAACCAATCAGGATGAAGAAAAAACCATTCTGGCACAGCAATAGGCTGCCCCAAATTTAAATCTGAAACCACTGTAAAAGTCTGACTCACAGACGGACACAATACAGAAGCCTGATGATGGCAGATGAGATTCTGCTGAAACGTTGCTACAACTTTAAAAGCACAACTATAATGACGTGGGAAAATACCCGAACAAAGCTGAAGGCCACCTCAAAGACCATAATATGTAACTACAGTATATTTTTTCTTGTCATAGAGGAAAACTTGAGAAGATGAGAAATTGAGCATTTATTACTTTAGGATCCAGCCGGGCTATTGCATTTTAAATCAGAAATCAAACTTGTTAAGTTTGAATTCTCTATGGTAGAAATTTATATATTTCTTTTTTAAAGAAAGAGGTTATTGAAAGAAGAGTAAGTTTAAAACAGGCATTGTCTGTTTATTCTTCATTCAATATCGAATAAAGATGAAGGATTAACAGAATGAGGCTATGGAACAATGGACCATTTATTCTATAATTACTCTGTAATTTTTCCTGAATTATAGGAAGGGTGCTAACTGACTCTTAAATTAAGTATGACTTTTTTTAAAAAAAATTGCCTGCATATAGCATATATTGCACATAACAAGTTATGTTATAAACAAATGGGAGCCTGCAGGGAGGCAATTTTAGAAAAAAAAACATATTTTTGCTCTGAGCTTGTCCTAAATAGATTAAGAGGTGCGGTAAATTTTCCATAAATGGCTCTTAATGCTCTGTAAGCAAAGAGTTATTTGTAATTATTACCTATAATTATGTTGCTAAGCTGCTAAGGTCTTCTATATTACACAGAACCGCAATGAAAGTTGCTTTTGTAAAGTACTGAGAACAAAGCTTCAATGCTTAGTGTAATGCAAATAATTCCAGGTTGAAATTAATAGCAATTGCTTTACTATTTCTTTTTGTCTGAATGGAAAATTAGCACACAATAGTCCTCAAATTACAATAGTTCATTTAGTGATCGTTCAAAGTTACAATGACACTGAAAAAACTGTCTTATGGTCATTTTTCACACAATTGTTGTAGCATCCCCATGATCATGTTATCAGGATTCAATGGTAGCAAGAGAGGTCATAAAATGGGGAAAAACTCTCTTTAACAACTGTCTCACTTAGCAACAGAAATTTTGGACTCAATTGTGGATCGTAAGTCGAAGACTAGCTGTGCTGTTTTTCCCTCCTTGTCAAAATTAATTACTCGTCTGTTTTTTTTAAACCATTTTAATATTATTTATTCTGATCAGATCTAATTAACAGTGAGTGACTGTGAA